TACTGGAAACTTGTTGCAGTGCTCTGAACATTCCTACAGAAAGCAGGACATTCATGTCATAAGGTAAACACATCTCGTCTGTTGTCTGCTCCAGTAACACATTTATTGGTATGGGCTATGTGATACTGATGTATTCATTACATCTTGGCATTTACAATATACAGTATTTCTCTGTTTCACTCATTACAGCCCTCATACCAATTAGGTGAAAGAAAATATTGTTTGCAAAGATACTTTTAGGGGGATTACATTTATCCTAGAATATTATGTATCACAATTTTAGAAACATTAAGTCCCAACATTTACATATAATTATTATGGTTATACCCTAGAGAAGATATTTAAATGTCTTTACCCTATCTGTTGGGTATATGTTTCTCTCCTAAGGAGAACCCTGTCAAACAATTAGGATGCTGAAATAAGAGAAAATATCCTGGCTTGCTAAATTGGAGAAAAAGTTGCCCCAAGATAAAAATCCTTAATGTAAAATTGTACTTTGATTTGGGTGGTTTATTTTTGTGATGACATTATGCGAATTTTTTTAATTTTAAGCATAAAAATCATACAACTCGATTATCAAGATATTTGCATCCGAGAAAATCAAATACTTGAAATTAGGCTCGATTTTTATGTGGACTTGAATCTGTTTCTTTGTAATTTCTGCGGGTACTTGGAAGGGTTTTGCCATGAATGCTAATGTGCTTTGTGTTTTAAGTAGTGATTCCGCACATGTTGAAACACAGGCGAATCTGAGCTAGAGACACAAGGCAGGGCATTTCTTTGGATGCTGCTGAAAGGAATCACAGAGGTCCTCCAAAAATGAAGTCTCCAAATGCACCCTTCTTCAGATCCATGGGCAGTGTAGCCACCAGGGTCTGCCTGTCTTCTGGCTGGGTATACACACCTTCATGGGGTGTGGGGGGCTAGTTCATTTTAATATCAGGTCCTCACTATCTTAGAACACACCTAGATTTTTTTAAAGGAGAGATGAAAGGTGATAACAGCTATCTGTGTAGGTCACTAGTAAAAGAATGCATTCAGATAATCCATCATACATTTTCCTTTTTTTTTCCCCTGGAAAAAAAAAATAAGAAGGGAAGGAAAATGAGAGAAAGCAAGCAAGCATAATCAAAAGCCTAAATGACAGAGTTGACAGTGAGATTCTGTGGTAAATGATTCCAGAGTCGCTGGCCTGCGGAGACGCGGAGGAAGTCCCCAGCAGACCTGATTAATTCCAGTCTCTCCAGCTGCCAGGGGAGCAGAGGGTAAGCAGTTGCGCAGAGAGGAGCCCATTACCACTCCTCGGCTGAAATAGATCTAATCAACCCACAGCCGCTCCAAAGAAAACTTTACAGGTTGAGCTCGCTAAGGCAGTGCTTTAAAATGATGACTACAAAGGACCATGGGAGTCTGAAAGCGTTTAGCCTTTATTGCAGCTCAAGGAAATTTTCTGCTGTGGTTAGGCCATGCTAATTTACTGAACATGACAAAGCTACCCAGACTCTGTGACATCATTTGTTTAAAGGTCCCCGTGCTCAGACGGAAGTATTTCGAATATTACTTTTTTTTTCTTCAAAAACAGTTAATTTGTTGATATTTCATCGGTGTTTGGGCTAATTACATGCACCATTATAAATGTCTGGACTAACCTACTTTAACATTTAATTTAAACAACAATGCTCTGTAATTTGTCATGGTGCTCACAAACTGATGAATATTGCAACTTTGTTTTCTAAGCAATCAACATTTTATCAGGGCATCTTAAGGGGAAAATTCCTGACAGGAAGGAGCCCTGAAGAAGCTCATGGAGTGTTCACATTCTCAGCCTCAGAATTAAACAAAGTTACATAGCAATTCGTATCATAATGATCTGAGCTGATTGAAAATGGTAAGGACTAACAAAGAGTAAGGAGGTAGGACTATATCAAGCAGAGTTCTGGATTTTTAAAAGTATTCCGTAGCCCATGTTGGATTGTATATCCTTCTCCTTTTTAATGGAAAATAGACAGAGGAAAATTATTAAGGCCAAATTGAAACCAAATAACCATTTGTCTTTTCTTTTTGTCATTGGAAATCTTTGTAAAGATTTGCAGAGGTAAAATCTGCTTTTGTTTAAATAATCAAGATTTGGAAACTCTGGACGAGTTACATGATATGTTGTTGAGAATGCTGTGTGCAATATCAAATATGCACATCCACACTTATTAAATATATTGATTACTAATGCAATCACTGATCACATCACCAAAAGAAATCCAAGAGGAGTCCACCAACATCGAATGTCAGTTAATTACAGAAGATAATCTGCAAACCATCATTTTCAGAACTTCTATGTCGAGGATGATACCGCAGAACCCACAAGATGAACAGGGAAGAAACAGAAAGGAGATAAATAATAGATAGTTTAGAATTTTACCAATCTCTTCTGAGCCTCTCTGTTAAGATGTTATTTGAAGCACGGTCCTGAGGTTAAGGATATGTGACAGGCACAGGAGGTCATTAAGGCAGGCTGCTGGGCACACCAACATGTCAGAAAAAGCCAAATGTAGTCACAAGATACTCCAAGAAAAGTCCTAAGCTTCCATAGGAATCTGACAGCTAAGCTTAGAGAAATACCATGGCTCACTAAGCATTTGCATAGAACTTATATCAGCAGCTATTCATAGCATTGTTACTACTATTATCTGAATTACAGTCTAGGTGTTCATATCCCCAGAGCTCTTGATGATCTGTGTGTGTGTGTGTGTGTGTGTGCATTTTCTGAAAATGAACTTTGAGCTGTTTACTTCAGGTTTATGCAGAACTCAAGAAGATGGGACTTTCCTTCATGCTAAGGAGGCCAAAATGCATCGTAAAAATCCATAGTTAATGATTTGGAAACTTCTACCTCTCATCAGAATATCACCTGTAGTTCTAGTGTGTCCTTAAATTGTAATCCTGAAGTTCCGAGTTGGATTGGTATTTTAGAGCAAAGAACCCTTTCCTTTTCTGAGGTTTTTCAATTTTGTCTCATTCAGGTAATAGTTAGCTGCTTTCCATGTCACCACCCAGAATCCAGCAGCACCTCTAGATGGGACTATAGAACTGAACAAGCCTGTGCCCACCACAGCTGTGAGTCTCTCACAGTCGCAGGACACCCAGGGCTGGATTTATGTCTGTCCTGTTCAGTGGCAGTTGGTTCCTACTGGTTTCAAATATGCAAGCAATTAAACCACTGTAGTTTTAATTGATTTGGCATGTCCGTTTTATCCTTAAAGAGAGAAAAGTACATTTAACAATTCCAAGGATGGATTTTTAAGGCCACAAACAGCTTTAAAAATATATTTTATGATTTTGCAGTGTCTAATAGAGCTCCAGATAAAATTATAATATTTGGGGAAAACCAGGGGTTGACTTGATCCTCAAATAGAGATCTGGGCTTTTGGGGCCCAGGCCACGAATACTCTTCTCAAACCCAGTCTGTCAAGTTTAGTCTGTTCCAAAGCCTCATGCAGCACAACATGATAGTGCAGAGCAGGCAGGACCAAGTAAGAGAAAAACAAAAAGATCAGCATAAATCCATCTGAAAAACTACTCAGGGCAAATAACCTACGGAGGCCCAATAAGCAGCATCATTTTCACAAACAGACAGAAGATGTTGGCATCTCCTCTTTGCTATTTGAGGAAACAAATTACTAATAACCAGTATCTTAAAGTCAGACAGCTTTATGAATAAGAAAAAACAGAAATGCATTCATGAAATTAGAATCTTGAAGAAACAGGTGTATTAAATGATATTGGGGAATCCCTGAGAGGGGTAAGCTACTCACTAAGGAACCGTGAATATACCAGGGCACTTCAAAAAGTTCGTGGAAAACTGAATTTAAACAAAATCATATTTTGAGGTGAAAAATTTTGAAATCCACGCATAGTTTTTTTTTCATAAAATTCATTTCCATGGACTGTTTGAAGTCCCCTCCTATGCATGAATTTCAATTTTTTTTTTTTGCACCAAAATAAATGGATCTTTTGATACCATATTCCTGGCACTTTTTGAATTAACTTTTTATAACCTTAGCAAAGATTGAGTTATTGGTCATCTTGTGTATATTACTGGAGAATTTGTGTGTTACCAGTTTTACCATGGTGTGTACCAACCATTATTACCGTTTTTCCACAGTTGGTAAAATACGTGTGCTGTGTTGCTAATCAATGCCATGCATTGGCCAGAGAGTAAAGAACAGTCGTGTCTTGGCCTCCCAGGGACAGAAAATGGTCCACAAAGGGGATGTGAATGCATGCAAAGTGGGGCCCTTTTACCAACGCTGGAACTTGGAACCAGAGGGACTCATCCCCACCAAAAAATATCACCAACATTCTAAACAGCTTGTTTTATCATGCTTTTGAAGGGAGAAAAAAAAGGATGGTTTTGAAACCACCTGGGTTAGTTTTATTATTTTATTTCTTCTGGCACGATCACAGACATGTCAGATGTGATTCAGCAGTAAAGGCGTAGATGTGTTAGCGGACTTTTAGACTAAATTCCAAGGGGTGTACTTTTTAACTGGCTACCTCCATGTGGTTTGGCTTTTTAAAGGAGTTCAATAGGCTTCATGTTTCTTATTACAATTTCTTTTTAAAATCTCTGTGTACCAGAGTGTTTGTGCTACTGAATTTTGCTCTAGTTTTCTTTCAATGCCAAGTCTTCAGCATGGACGAGTAAAGATGTGCTAATTAAACTCAATGCATTTCACATCTATTAATTCAGACTGTGATCTCTCATCAGATTTCATATGTTAAGTAGGACTTAGGGCTGGTCAACAGATGTAAACTTCAGAAATGTGGTGAACAACCAACTCCAATGTCCATTCCTAAGTCAGACTTTTTTTTTTAACATGTCAGATGCTAACGGATTATATTTCAGTTCAGCTAGACATTTGGCAACAACAGAGAAAACTACATTTTATGGCTCCCCTGGGTATATATCAGTTGTAGTTATTTTAATTATTTCCAACACTTACTTTTTCTCCTGAAAAGGGTGTCCTTTCTCTAATTCTACCGTTGATAGCGGCTGTGATCACTGCTCCACATCATGCTGGAATGAGAAAGAACACCCCAAGGTGACTTTACACTTCGGCCCTTCTTTCCAGGAAGCTGTCCTCCCACCCTCCCACGAAAAAAAAAATGCCAGCACCAAATACAAGAGTATTTCAAAAGTTCATAGAAAATGCATTAAAAATTAAGCACCAATTTCACAAAAAGCATTTTGTACCAATATAAATATACTTTTTTTTAATTTGAGAGGCAGAGAGACTGAGAGATAAACAGACAGAGAGAAACATAAATAGAAAGAATTCTCCCACCCACTGGTCCACACACTATGCACACAACAGCCAGGGCTGGGCCAGGCCAAAGCCAAGAATTAAAAACTCATTCCAGGTCTCTCTCTTGGGTGGCTGAACACAACTATTTGAACTAACACTGCTGACTGCCATGGGGGCACATTAGCAAGAAGTTGAATCTGGAAGCAGAGCAAGGCTTGACCTGAAGTACTTGGATGTGAGATGCAAGGGTCTCAAGTGGTATCTCAGTCACTGTGGCAAACGTCCACTTGTCCATTTGCCCACAAACTTTTAAAATACCCTTGTACAACAACAAAGCCCTGTAGTAAAGTGATAAAGAATTTGAATTTCTTTATTTTCTAAAGATTTATTTTCTAACTTATTTGAAAGGTAAAGTTACAGAGAGAGAGGGACACACACACACACACACACACAGAGAGAGAGAGAGAGAAAGAGAGATCCATTCGCTGGTTCACTCCCCAAATGGCAGCAATGACCAGTTCTGGGCCAGGCCAAAGCCAGGAGCCCAGAGCTTCCTCTGGATCTCCCATGTGGGTGAAAGGGGCCCAAGCACTTGGACCATCCTTTGCAGCTTTCCCAGGTGCATTAGCATGGAGCTGGATCGGAATAGAGCAGCCAGGACTCAAACCAGAGCCCACATAGGAGGCTGGCCCTGCAGATTGAGGCTTAACTCACTACGCCACAACACAAGCCCCAAGATTTTGAGTTTCAAATGTATATTTTCAATAAAAAAAAAAAAAACACATAAAATAGGAGGCATTGAAACTGTTAATAGTCCTGCTCTACCGTTCTAAAATCCAGTAACAGAGCATTCATACCACTGCATCTTGTGGACACTGGAAAAAAAAAAAAGACAAAGGACGGACCTGAATTCCAAAAACCATCAAATGTGAGACCCAGCATCTCCGTCACATTTCTCTATGGTAAATAAGAAGCTTAATTGGAAAAGTGAAGTTCAGAATGTAACACCCAGTTCCCATGTTTCTTTGAAAACTCTGTATGTTATGTCCCTAGTGACAGGATGACAAGTGAAAGTGCATCTAACACTGAAAAGGCTGCGCAAATTACACCTATTCCAAACCAAAGTTGAAGTCCAAAGACCTATGGCCAAGCAAAGTGTTCCTTTCTGCCCCCTGGTGGATGAACAGGCGCTTCCACACACCCATTGTGTGAGTTCTAAAACAGGGAAACAGACTTCTGAGAGCAGGTTTCTGAACAGGACAGTCTAGGAGAATGTGGTCGGATCTAACCAATTTTCTTTTGAGTGAATGCTTTGTAACAAGGTAACCGTTTGCTATAGACAATTCTGTTCTTCCTCTGTTCTTTAGGATGTGAAGTGACTTCTATCGGGACAAGTGGCTAGGGTGCTGTGATCTTGGGCTATTCTCCACCATGTGTTTCTCTCCATATCAATTTCTTTTCCTTTCTCATCTGCTCGTATCCAAAACAGAAGCTAAAAAGAGAAAGGACACTTCACTCTCCCATTATGTTCTTCCCTGCATTTTTGCTGGGGACCAATCATCCAAATGTCACTCCTTTGTCTTCTCTTTCCTCTCTTATGCCACTGGTAGTATTTGCTACACTGTGCTTTCAAGCTTTCAACTTTATAGAACTAGCAACTTACTGTTTCCATTTATTTTCCAGGTCAAAGAAAGTAAAAACAATATGAGACAAAATTAATAAATGCATGATAGCACGGCACCCAGAGAGATTTCATTTCAATTTTGCCACCCTTATAGAAGTATTTTTGAGTGTGATATGCTCTGAAATTTTATAAAATTCTTGCCAAAGGTAAAAATAATATGTAGTGATGACATTCCCTTTTCACAAATGCACATATTGTAGAACCTGTGCCTAGCCACAGGATTTCGCAATCTTTGGGGATTGGCAATTCACACAGTGCAAAATCCCATTTGCAACATAGCTTTCCCCAATCCCATGGGATTCATTGTGGGAGCCTTTTAATGTAATAGTTTTCTTAGAGTTGAGAACTCTGAAATGATAGCCCCTAGTCTAAGACAGAGGGACATTAAACTAAGTGGAGATAATTAATTGATGGTTTACATTTTTATCCTTTGTATGCTTTTCTTAGCTACTTTCCTCTGTGTCTTCTATTAGAAGAACTCAGCCCTTGGACTGCTACCACAACCAGCTATTTCCCTGGAATCATATTCCTTTAAGGAGTCACATGTGTGCCCCCTTCCAACCCCATTGCCTAGAAAATCCACTCGTGTCCTCTAACCTGGGTAAAAACCGAGCTTTGTGACCATTATCTGCTTTCTTGGAGACACCTCTTTTCCATGATAGATTTCCCTTGAAGACAGATCAATGTTCTATTTTAATCCCAGTGCACCTCCTCCCCAGCTTCTTTTCCCTTTTTATTTTCAGAAGTATCAAGTTCCCAAGAAAGTGAGTCTTTCAAAATGGTACGTACATTTCCAGGAGCAAATACCATACGGGATTCCTTATGTTTGCCTTCTTCAGAGAGTTCACACTTGAAAATGTCCAGTGATCTCTGCAAGTGGAGCAGACCGCAAGCGTCAGATCCACCATGGACTAGATATCCATGCAGTACTAACCTTGACCCATGGAGGTGAGGAGCGAGAAATGTGAAAAGGTGCAAGGGTGACAAAGGAGGCCCCTTCCCAACTGTGAGCATGAGGCCAGTGGACCCTAGATCATCCTTAGTAGCATCACCACTTTCAGAATCAAGCTTCTGAGTTAAAGGGGAAAAAAATCTCCACTCTGTATTTGCTGGTGACTCAGGGCTTTCCACGCAAGCTCTTTCCAGAGAGCTTCCCTTTTGTAATCTTGGGGATTTGTGGTTCCTGCAGATCTTTTTAAGTCCTGTCATCATCACACATACTTAAGCGTTTAGCTCCTTGGACAGCTGTAAGTCATAAACAAAAACAACAGAACTTTCTTCCTAAAAAAATATTTAGACCGAAAAATGAGAATACACTTCAAATGAAAGCAATCAAATGCAAATGAAAAAGTTCAGCGCCTATTAAAAAAAAAAAAAAAAAGGAAAGCCAGCCATGTAACTTTGACCTTTGGAGCTTTCTCTTTTAGGTAAACAGATAACTGATTTTTAAACTCTCAGACCACAATATCTTAATTCAGTTATTGTCACCAGGAAAAGAAAACGATGAGGAATAAGCCAGAGAGTATCACTAATCAGGACAGAAAGTCACCAAATTTACTACTTCAGAACATTGTCCAACTTTGGTGGGTTTTTTTTTTTGGGGGGGGGAGGTGAATTACCCTCATCTGTGATATACATTTAAGAATGAAACTTAAATTAGCTGCTTAAAGTGGTCCTGTGACTTTAATTATTCACAAAGTACACAAATTTAATGAGTTTTTAAATATTAAAACTCTTCTCTATTGTCACTACGGTGAGCTCTTAATTCACGGAGCAATTAAGTCAGGACCCTCATTTATCAGGACATGTGCGTTTGTTGAAAACATAGTCAGTTTTTATTAATTGATGCTACAGAAAGACTGGGCTGAAATTAATGTGTGTCTTCAGAGGTCGAGCTGGTGGTGGTGGGAAGGCAGCAAGGAGCAAGACGTGAGATAAATAAGTAACTGCTATTCCCCGATTACTCAAGAGATTGCTGAAATATTAAGTGGCACTATGGTTACCGTTCTCAGCCAAAATGCGTGCAAGCAAATGCCCCCTGAGTTTTTCCCTGGCAAACATCTGTCGTGGGTAGTAGCTGAGAAATAGAGAAACTTCAAAGCAGTACTTTCTGATTATTAGCAGAGTGTGGAGTGTAATGTTCTTACATTTTAATGCAAAGCAAGTGTTGATGAGCTGAGAGGGTAGAATTAAAAAGTAGCCCAAATTTCCTTTGTTCTTCGGGATGGGGTTGACAGGAACATTCACAGTCAGTAGTATTCAGTAGTATTTCTTAGTGGTTATCAATTTGTGAGCCACAAGAAGTGCTACCTCCCAAGGCAGATGATGGGAGAGGAGCTGGACCAGGCACGGTTGCCTGCTGTCAACCCACAGGGACTCCTGCCCAACCACCTGAAGTCTGCTGGGCAGCACACATTGTAGATGGCCAATCTTGTTCAGGGAAACCTGTTAGAAAAGAACAAAGTTCAGATGTCCTAGACCTGAGCACCTGCCTACAGAGGGAACAACCGCCTCCAAACAGTTTGCTGTGAAGGGTGAAGTTTTGAAATATAAACATAAATCCAGAGCATCAGAATTATCTGGGTCATTTTTGGCAACATTTCAGTCAGTTGTTGGAATGATGTGTACGGGAAAGAGACTGATTTTTAAGTTGAACTGGTAAGAGTGGACATAGCCTATGTCATTACTTCTGTAGGAACAGATTTGATAAGACAATAATCTCTAAGCACTTTTTTCTTTATTTTTTAAGGATTTATTTATTTATTTATTTATTTATTTATTTAAAGTCAGAATTACAGATAGGGAAGGAGAGACAGAGAGAGATTTTTCATTCTCTGGTTCACTCCCAAGTTGGCCGCAATAGCTGGAGCTGGGCAGATCAAAAGCCAGGAGCTTCATCTGGATCTCCCATGTGGGTAGCAGGGACCCAAGGAATTGGGCCATCTTCCAGTGTTTTCCCAGGTGCATTAGCCAGCAGCTCGTTTGGAAATGGAGCCGGCAAGACGTGAACCTGCACCCATATGAGATGCCCATGTTGTTGAGAGGTGGCTTTTTGCAACATGGGTCCTTGCAAACATTTTTTTTTTAAATCCTGAAACTCCACAATCTACTCTAGAAGCAAAGAAAGAAAGAAAGAAAGAAAGAAAGAAAGAAAGAAAGAAAGAAAGAAAGAAAGAAAGAAAGAAAGAAAGAAAAAAAGAAAGGAAGAAAGAAAGAAAGGAAGGAAGACAAAAATACTTCCTAATGCCTGTAAACCAGAACACTATCCTGCTCACTGCCGGGTGGTTGCTACCCAGTTCTGATCAGCACACAAACAGGTTGTCCTGGCATTCTCTGCAGTGGAGTTTAAAAAGAGAGCCAGGCATCCCACTCCCAATTCCTTGTGCATTTGGACTGGTGGCCTCCGGAGCACCACCAAGTTTGATGGGACCATGTCAAGTGGTCCCCTGTGACCAGGAGTTGGTTAATACACTCCCATTCCTCATCCAGACAGGCAACAGAGAAGGGGGGGGCGGTGGCGAGCAGCAGGGCAGCGAAGGCTCTCTGCTGCAAATGCTCGGTAATAAATTGTTCTTTCAGCGGTGCAGAAAAGGGATTTCTCGTTTCTTTGCTCCTTTCCTTCTTTGCCGGGAAGCACCAATGGGAGGCTGGCTTTCCCACCTGGCCCTGGCTGCCTGTGCCCATAAATTTGCCTATGCGATGCCTGTTTACGGGTCGCTGATGGAACATGGAGACGGTGCATTTTGTAAGCACCGGGTAGATAATCATGGTAATTGATGTTTGGAGCTGTGAGCTCCTAGGAGCACCGGGTCTCTTTCTCCCAGTGAGGCCCTGCTCTCTGTTATCAGTCCAGCCCATAATTAAATATCACTCTTTTACAATATGTTTCAGGCTCCTTAATGAGTCTAAAGCACAAATAGTCACCTCTTTACCTCTGAGCTTTATTTGCTTGTTATTAAACAATGTTATTGAGCTGCCTTCTTTCCCTGTGTTGCCAAACCTGCATCATTTCCGTTTTATAATTGCACAATTAGAGCCAAGGCTTTGCTTTCATACATCAGCAGGCCCTGCGTGTGCGCGCGCGTGTGTGTCTGTGTGTGGAGAGGAGGCGAGGCAGAGGGAAGGAAGAAATCAGGTGTTCCTATAGACGACTCAAATGCATCTTACTTTCATTAACTGCCAGATTTTGCAAAATGGGAAGCGATTTATCATGAGCCATTTTCTTCTATCAACCACCTCCACCAGCCAACACCGCGACTTTCGCCGTGACCTTGTGCTGCATAGCGGAGGGTCCAATTTGCTCATTGTTACTCGCTTGCATAATCCTATGCCCCTCCCCCACAGCCTCTTTTTTTTTTCCCCAAGCAAAATCCAGTCATTTATATTCTGAGGCTAAACGATATTCTTTTTTGCCCCCAAAGCTGGTGAGCTGTCTAACACTAGTAATTCCTTCTAACGAATTTCCAGAGAGCTCTCCATCTTACACACCCAGGCTCTCCCCTCTCTCACACACTTCCCCATGCTCACACTCACACGCACCCCCCTAAGCTGCTCTAAGCAGTGTATTAAGTAGCTGAAGAAAATCCATTCACATTCTGCTGTGTCGCTTTCTTCTCCAGTCATGAACCCATCACAGACTTTTTCGAGCTGTAGGTTGCCACGGTGAAGATTTACAATGCCAGTTATTCATACATCTGCCTTTTCCTCCCCCACCCCCCCTGATTCTTAAATCCCCTGGGCGAGGGCAACCTTGATACTGAGACTCGTAAAATTCATGCAGGCTTATCATCCTTGGCGAAGGCTGCAGGCGTGCCTGCCCTAGCCTCCTGCCAGTTCCCCCGCCATGACGGGTGGGTGGGCCGCCGGCTTTTCTTTCTAACTGGGAAGAGAGGAGTGGGGGAGGGGGAGAGGGCTCACCGTGGGCATCACTGTTAATAGAAAACTTGTAGATGGGGCTACGTACTTTTTATAAATAAGAGCGGTAGCTGTTTCTCTAATCATGTGTTAATTTTTAAGCCTTACTTTTGGCTCTCTAGTGGTATGAATTTGATACTGGGACGTTATGTAAAGAGCGACCTTCTTTTGAACAAAATAATGTGAGAAAGTCCACCTGTCAAGTGTGTTCAGAGGCTCAGAGAGCCACAGACGTCCTTTTCAGGCTTAAAAAGCCTGAATGCTTTTTAATATGTGCAATAGGACACCCATGGCTTGGGTTTTGCTACTTTCCTGGCCTAACTGTTTATTTTTCTCTTAATTATTACTAAGTTCATTTATCTTAAAGAACATGGAGAACTGGGAAAAAAATCAATATTTTCAACAGCAAAAATTAATATCTTAAGTCGTTGAAATTTCCCCCATTCTAAAAGAGATTAAGCCTATGCTGGCATAGTCACAACATCATAATCATTACCAAAAGGGAGAATTTTAACAGGTTGTTAGAAAATAACAATTTTGATGTTGGCAAGTGATCATCTGAAACAATTTTCTAAAAGTTTACAAAATTTACTTCTAGCTGAATTGAACTATAATTTGTCTCAAAACCATAAGGTTTCTTCAATCTTATTTTTTTTCCATTCCATAATTTCAAGTATACAAAATATTGGGCTAGTTTTGTGATGCAGTGGGTTAAACTGTCACTTTCGAGGCCAGCGTTCCATAGTGGAATGGAGCCCGATGGAGATCCTGGCTCCTGACTTTGGCTTAACGTAGTCCTAGCCATTATGGTCATTTGGGGAGTGAAAATTATGCACACACACACATAAACACACACACACATATATAGCATACACACACATGTACATATAGATGCATACACACACATAAATATATAGCACACACAGACACACATACACACACATATTTATACACAGAGATGCACACACACACACACACATGACATCCTTGGTACAGTAGTGCCCTTTGATCTGTGGTTTTTGCCTTTTTCTTTTTCAGTTATCTGCTGTCAACTGTGATTTGAATACATTGGGTGGAAAATTCCAGCAATAAACAATTTGCAAGTTTTAAATTTTGCACTGTTCTAAGTATTATGATGAGAGCTTATGTTCACCAGGTCTACCTTGCCCTGGAAGTACATCAATCACCCCCTTGTCCAGTGTATCCACACCATATGTGCTAGCCACCCCTCCTTCGCTTAGTGGCTGTCCCAGTGATCACATCAACTGTCACAGTAGCCCCGTGCTTAAGTTCAACTAATTCTTTTTTTTTTTTTTTTGGACAGGCAGAGTGGACAGTGAGAGAGAGAGACAGAGAGAAAGGTCTTCCTTTTTCCGTTGGTTCACACTCCAATGGCCGCCACGGCCGGCGCACTATGGCAGGCGCACCGCGCTGATCTGATGGCAGGAGCCAGGTGCTTCTCCTGGTCTCCCATGGGGTGCAGGGCCCAAGCACTTGGGCCATCCTCCACTGCACTCCAGGGCCACAGCAGAGAGCTGGCCTGGAAGAGGGGCAACCGGGACAGAATCCGGCGCCCCAACCAGGAGTAGAACCCAGTGTGCTGGCGCCACAAGGCGGAGGATTAGCCTAGTGAGCCGCGCCGCCAGCTTCAACTAATTCTTATTTTATGTAATAATGTTCCCAAAGCATAAGAGTGTTGATGATTTCATTACATTATTTTGTTAGAATTGTTCTGTTTTATTTGGTCACTGGTGTTAATATCTGTATTATAATTATATAATTTTGAATCATAATTTATAAATTGATTACTATAAAACTTGACTACAGGCATGTATGTAGAGTAAAAAGCACAGTACCCAAGTGTATGTCAAAAAAAACTCATGAGAAACACAATTAAAAGATAAGTCTATTTCTTGCACGAGAGGTCTTCGAAAATACGTATTATGAAAACACTATGCAGCAGACTCTGCCTCATGGGTGACGTAATCCCTCTGAGGGTCCCTTGTATTTCCTGCCGTCTTCTGGGAGGGCTCCAGAGGTGAGACATGTACATAGTGCACTGACTCCAGTGGAGCTGCGCAATCAGAAGACTTACATCTGGAGGAAAATGGCAAACATCCCTGCAGGACCGGTGGCAATGCTGATCTGGGGGACCACACTCTGTTGAGGTCTAAGGCATCACTGAATCTGCCACAAGCTACCTTTCAGGCAGGGCTCAGCTTTGAAAGAGGCTCTAGATCTTTGCCTTCCTTTGAGGAGTACAAGCAGGTGTTAGGAGAGCGAAGAGAGATGGTCAAGCCCACGGAAAGGCCCTGGCTCCTGTTCACAGGTGTGTGACCTGCAGCCTGTGGACACCCAGGTCTCAGTTTGCTCCTGGGTAAAATAAGGGGAGCCCGCTAACTTATCTGTAATGAGATTTCTAGTCTTCACATGATGTAGAAACCATGTACTCACTAATAGGCAAGAACAAGTTCCCTTCTTCCAGCTCAGTGTATGGTTTTGCTGCTCCGTCTCCCCAGGGTGTGCTCCCTGGGTGCTGGGCTCCCTCTATCCTAACTCTTCAAGTTGCTATAGAACATTCAGGAAATTGTCACAAGGGGTGCCAGGGTATTCCAAGGACTTAGAATGGACAAAGATTCTGACCCATATTCCCCATTCCCCTTAAAAAAAATATCACTGGGCTAGAAGCATGTGTAGCTGCATTGGTTATAATCATATTTTGTTATTGTTGTTACCGTGTTCTGTTGTGTTTTCCTCACATGGCATTTTTCCCCATTTAATGTTGTACTTTCTGACTTTGTGACTGTGTTCCTGGAACTAGGATGAGCTGATAGCAACTTAGTGAAAGCAGTTCAGTCGTATTGCATCTTACTTGATTCTTTTATGTTTTCCCTTCCGGCTATTCCCTTTTCCGTTAGATGGAAACTTCCTTTTCCAAACCACCTGCTGGTCTACTGCTCTCGCCTTAGCTCAGGGTACCGTCAGAACTCCGTGTGAGGGGAGAAGGTGGATGCTGCCACCATCATTGACTCTGCCCCGCCTCTGAACATTGTGGACTTGAGTGTTTTTTTTTTTTCTTTTGTAGTCTCACCTCCTCTCAGAAAACTCTCAGACCTATGTCTTATCAGAGGAAGATAAGCTAACACCTCCAGTTAAACTTTCAGAATAATCCAAGGCCACTCGCAGATAAAACAGTGAATTTTGCAGTGTGAAGTTCCAGCTGCCTTTCTTTATCTACCTCGGCCCTGGGTTTGGTTGAGAATGTTCCAGCAAACCGCTGTCCCATCTGACTGTTTCTTCCCATGAGTGCCAAGTGAGGACGATGTTCCCAGTGAACTCAGGATTCTGATTTCCAAGTGCAACAACATGTAGATACTTTTAAATGCAAGGATATTCCAAACACTCTTGGAAAATTGGATTAAATGATAAGTTGCTTTGGGTGCAAAAAGATTTGAAATCCATACATTATTGTTTACATTTTCCATGAACTTCTGGAAGACCCTTAATATGCATAGTTTTAAAAAAAATTTGTGCTAACCTAAGTATGCCTTTTAATCCCATTTTCCACAAACCTTTTAAAAATATCCTATTTTGGAATATACTCTGCTGAGATATTACCACCACCACTTTTTATTATTATTAGCCTCTTAATGACCAAAATGCTAGGATAGACAGGTCAATTTTGACCATGACCTACAGAAATAAATACATTTTATGTTTGTAAGAAGGCACAATTGTATAAGCAGTTTCACAAAACAATAAACCTTTACCACCTGTGAAGTATTCTGGTATTTTCTATCTTATAGAATATGCTTATACTTCCATTGGCCCTGGCTTGAGGTTTGAAAGGCATGGTTATAGAGCACCATGGTAGTCTGGACAGGAACCCCTCAGAGTCTGCAAGGAGGCTTTTGGTAGATCAGGACCATCCTCAGAGTTGGCAGACAGGAGTAGGGCAGGATTTCAACTCCTACTCATGCCCTCAGCCAGAAGCCTTTCAGAGCCTTGCAGCCACAGAGGGCTACATTGAAACCTATTCACTATTGGAGGATCTAGAAGGGGATTGAGGCTGAGGAATCAAAAGGCCTGTTCAAGACCATAAAATGCATTCTGATGTGGCATGAGTGGTATTGGCTATTTCCAGATCTGCCTCTGTATGGCTCAGATGCAAAGCAAAAGTGGTCTGGAAACAAACTGACATGATTCCCAACAATTTTAAGCACCATGAGATACTAAATGGAAAACAAGGAAGAGAGCAATGGACGGCTTATCAGAAACCTGCCTCAGTGTCTGTTAAGCCATTCTGCAAATTAACAACAATACCTTGAGGAATATCCTATTTCTGTATCTGCTGCAAACTCTATAAGCCATCTCAATCCATCCCCAAACATCAGGCTTTATTATAAATCACAGGTTCTAATAAGTAGGAATGTAACTTGGGGGATTTCTGGAAGTTACTCTTCCTAAAAGAAGCCTATCTCAGTAGCCATCATTCATGCTATCCGAGGAGACATGATCAGCAATAGGTGACATCAAAGTATTTCAAAAGTCCCTAGGAGATCTTCCTCACTTGGCAATTCATTGGACACTCTGTCTTACTTCAAGCCTACAACAACACCATACTTTTCTCATTTATTCTTTTCTAAGTTCATACAAAGTTAACCAACTGGAACTGCCAAAAAACAAAAACATAGAATGATCCACTCTATCAACATTCAGATACTGTATTTTAGTTTATAGGTACACATTATATTTTTAATGCAATGTTCTGTATGCCCTTGACTTATTCTAGGTAACACACTACATTGAATTGTTTCAATAATGTAATATGGGCTAGTGGAACAAAACAGTGAAGATGCAAATATTTACCTCTTTTTTCTAATATATCTTCCTTCCCAACATGCACACAAACACACACACACACACATGCACACACCACAATACTGGTCATTTTTAAAGCAGAGAATTTGAACAGGAAGAAATATATTTTATTCCAAAACACTTTCTAAATAGAGAATGTATTGCTATGATCCATTAATTTCTTTATCTCCATTTGTTTTTACCTTGTTTATGTGTTTGTTTAATATTTACTTATTCATTTATTTGAAATGCAAAGTGGCACAGAGACAGAGACAGAGAGACAAGAGAGAGAGATAGATCTTCCATCCACTGATTCATTTCACAAATGGCCACAATAGCTAGGTCTGGGTCAGGCTGTTGTCAGGAGCCAGGGACTCCATCCAGGTCTCCCACATGGGTGGCAGGGACTAAAGCACTTGGGCCATCCTCAGCTGCCTTCCCAAAAGCATTAGCAGGGAGCTGGATCAAAGTGGAGGAGCCAGGATGCAGCAGATCACCCTGGCAGGGATATGTAGCTTGACTCATTATGCCTTGAAGTCCAATCCTCCATTTGCTTTTAACAGATGTTTTAAAAACTCACAGCCAGTATTAGTCTTCAAAAACTGAATGTTTCAAATGTTTCATCATTTCAAGGAATTGACAAAGTAGTTTTGCTGACATCATTTTAAAGATGTATTTGTTTATTTGAAATTCAGAAAGAGAAGAAGAAACAGGAAAATAGCACATTGACCCTACTCTAGAGAACTTCACGTGCTATTCTATACTCTCAGTATAGAATTGAAATTCAGAAAGAGAAGGAGAAACACAGAAAGAGAGAGAGGGAAAGAGATCTTCCATCTGCTGGTTCACTCCCTAGTTGGCTGGAGCTGTGCCAATCCAAAAAGCCAGGAGCCTCCTCTGGGTCCCCTACACAGGTGCAGGGGTCCAATGTTTTGGACCATCTTCTACTGATTTCCCAGGCCATAGCAGAGAGCTGAATTGGAAGTGGAGCAGCAGGGACTCAAACCGACACCCATTTGGGATGTTGGTACTGCAAGTGGCAGCTTTACCTGCTACGACACAGCGCCGACCCCATACATCATTTTTTTCATATTCTTTATATGTGGTGTGCCTTTCTGATGACGTGACCCAGTTACATTAACAGCTATGAGTCACAGTCAACAGAACAAAGAGACGTACTCCACCTTTGATGGTCATGGACAAAGATTTAACTTGGATGGAAAACAATACCTTCAGTGCTCCCCTCCCCCAGATTACCTAAATGAAACAAAGACATAGGTCCTTGGAGAAATCACACCCAATCTTTTGACACTTAGAGAAGGCAGAAAACAAGCATCTCCCATACACAGGAAGCCTGCAGCAGGGATCCCTCAATCCTGACTCACAAAGGTCTTGACCAACTTCAACACAGAGCAGCTAGACAGAACACCCCCTTGGCTTTATTAGAGCTTAATCTGTTTTCAAGATTTTTACCTAGAACAGCATCCTGGGGACCGGAAGTTGGCACTGGATGGGAGCTAATGATCATGGTTTTCTTCTCTCTGCCCACAAGCAGCCTCCAGGTTCTGCTTCCCCCATTTGCCTTTATGCTTCCTCCTGCCCCATCTCCACATCAGTTGATCTTCAGAGGGTATTTCCTCCTTGTTTCCTTCATGCACTTCCAGGAGAGGAAAGGAAGCAGATTTAATGAGGCCCAGTTGTATGTAGATCCATGATCCATCCATAGAGATGCCTATGAGTAGATATCTATATCCTAATATCATGATGGCTCAGAGAACTGAGGTTTTAATCCTGTGGGTGTGGCATAACCCAGAGTCTCTGGGGAATGACACCAATTCACCACCAGCAATAGCGGGGAACAACGCACAATTCAGTTTGCGGGGTTACAGTCATATTGAAGCAAGATCCATTTCAACCAGTATAGTGGTGTTCTGGGCCAGATTTCAGCAGCCACCACTCTAGAAAAGGGGTTGCAATAGGTAAAGAGGCTTCAGCAGACATAATCTAGCAGGGCTTCCATGAGTGAAGGCATGTGGTACACCGAGAGTATAGAACAGCGTGTGAAGTTCCCTAGAGTAGGATCAAGGTGCAGTCTTCCCACAGCCCCCATCTAGTCTCCTCACTAGATTTTAGCTCCTGTTGCCTTATCCCTAAAGCATGAATGTCCCGCGCTTCCATACCACTCTCTTAACCAGGATGATATTTGCAAATAGACATCCGGGGCCCTGGGGATGGCTTTCTTAGGTCTATGTATCCCTGTGGTGACCAGCCTCTCTCAACTCGACGTCTGCCTGGAGTCTCCTTTTTCTCTATTCCCACCAGCAGACTCTCTCCTCTCACTTTCAAACGCAGAGCCTTCTTCGGAGAGTTCTGCTCTGTTCTCATGGAGACCAGAATGTCCCTCCGTTGTGGATCTAATTATCTATCACACCAATTTGTTGAAGCTGTAGAAAATTGAAAGTTATACTTCTAGTCCCAGGAATACACAAGACACTATTAACTGTGGGTGTTCAATACATGTTTGCTGAATGAATGAGTGAAAACTAGGTTGCCTGATTCACTGACTTTATATAATTCCCTCACCTAAATATACATATAGCTCCTCAAACATACAAATAAAAGTAGGTTTAAATTAGATCTATTACTATGGCTAATTTCGGACAATAGTATTTAAATTGGATATATG